AGATGTCTCTATAAAGTTTATTTTTTATTTATTTTTATTTTATTTATTTGTTTGTTTTTCAAACATGTATGAGAAAACAAGTATAAGTATAAACATAGCATATAAACATATGTACAAACAGGTATAAGTATATACATAATAAATGAGTATGAATAAATGGGAACAGTAGGACAGGGACGGTAGGCACTCTGGTGCGCTTATGCACACCCCCTTATAGACCTCTTAGGAATGGAGTGAGGTTTAAGGTTAAAGTTTTGGAGGTTTGAGTCTGTAACAACAGAGTCAGGGAGTGAGTTCCAGACATTGACCACTCTGTTGCTGAAGTCGTATTTTGTGCAATCAAGTTTGGAGCAGTTTATTTTGATTTTGTATCTATTGTTTGCCCATGTATTATTGCACTTGAAGCTGAAGTAGTCATTGACAGATAGGACATTGTAGCAGACAATTTTGTGTACTAAGCTTAGAGCAGACCATAGGCGGCATAATTCTAAATTGACTAGGTCCAAAATTTCATGGTGACATAAGGTATTCTTATGACATTATTACCTTATTCTGGTGACATAAGGTATTCTACTGCAAGCGGAGGAGTTGAGAACTCTTCTCGCGAAATACCTCTGAACTCATTCAATTGTACTAATGTCCATTATACAGTGAGGATTCCAGGCAGATGAGCTGCATTCAAGAATTGGTCTGGAGGATTTCCAGTGGTGTTCTGGTCAACGATGGCTCAGAGACTGCGATTGTGCGCCACTTTGATCCATGCTTACCCTGTTGGAGGGGTCCTTAAAGGACCGGATTCATCTGACCCACCTCATAGGAGTGGGGGGAAGAGGGGGAGACCACCAGCTGGGTCGAGGGGTGCTGCATCTCCCCTTCCTGGCTTGGCAAACTCCCCTAGAAGACAGGGAGAAGCAGCAGTCTTTTAATGGCTGCCCTGTAGATGGGAAGCTGCCAGGACACAAGTTTTGTGCTGGAGAGTGAAAGTGGTGAGCAGCGTGTAACTGGATAAAAGACTTTGAATATTCTTTTTTATAACCCCGAAAAGTGGAAAGAAGGACCCCTCGTTTGGAAGAGTAGTAGCGGCAAACAAAAAATAAGAGGAAAATATAAGGTAAAGAAAAAACTGGAAATAAAAGAATTATATGTGATTAGAGACTAAACTTGGAATAACATTAATTGGACATTAATCAGGCATTGGATAAAATGCTGGACTTATTTGGAATTGGTTAAGTCTAATATTAATATTATGGAAAAGTGAATTAAAAATTAAAAAAAAATCTAAGAAGAAAGTGATATAGAGCACCACCAAAATGTTAAAGATTTCCTTCTTTTATGTTTCTATGGAAAATTACTTTTTGTATGTAACAAGATCCCCGAAAGCTTTATAAAAAAAGAAAAAGAAGAGGGGATTACAGTTAAAATTGAGACTTTTGACAAGGACTAAAACAGAAAAAAATGACTTTTAATAAAATAAAGAATAACTTAATAGACCAAAGAAATGGAAGAAATAAGCAAAGAATTTAAGTTGGAGCTCCAAAATGTGAGAGAGATGTTTAAAGAAAGAATGAGATTGGTGGAGTTAATGCTGAGTAAAGTAATGGCGTTACAGCTTGTGGAAGAACAAAGGAAGTCCAGAGAGGATGAATTAAAAGAGGGAAATAACAGCATCGACGAGCATGAAGAACAAGGATCATTGTCAAAGGACATAAAAAGACTTAAAACAGAGACATTGATGTTAGAGACAATAAATAAAAGAAAGACACTCAAGACTAAGAGGAAGAAGAGGAGAATACATAAGAAGAAACCCCAAGAAAGAGAACTGAAAAGTGGGGGGGAAACATGGCCAACAGGCAGAGGGAAATAAAAATAAAATTAGAAGGAAAAAAGAAGAAACTTAGAAAAGGGAAACCCAGCCAAAATTAAAAGGAATGATAAAGTTTCAAGATTTAGAGATAAGGGTTAGGGATTGTATAAGGGGAATACCACATGGGAATGTATATTGGCATTCAGTTTAAAACTTGTTAGAAAATATTATAGGCCATAGAGATTGAAAAAAGACCTGAAAGCATGAATAAAAGAGATGATTCCACCAGACTGTCAATTATTTGGAAGCCTGCACTCACAAACAAAAAAATCTCCACACCACAAGCCAGGCAAACACTGGGGCACGAACAGATCCCCCCTGATACCTCCAGCTCAAACACACCCCAACCAGGCACCCAGATGAAACCTAGCTTCCTAATAAATGATAGCCGTCCATTTACCTGAAGCCAAGCTGCACTAAAAGCCTCCAATACAGGAAACACAATGTTGCCAGCCAATCAAGACAAAAAAATGCTACAAAACAGACAGAAGATATTAGAAATACCAATCAAGAAGAACACAGCAAACTCCAAGACCAATAAACACAGACCAAGACTCCCAACCTATCAGATGAAGAAAAAACAGCACGAGGCTAGCACCAAATTTAAAACAGAAACGGCTGTGAAAGTCTGACTCACAGACGAACCCAATACATGAGCCTGATGATGACAGGTGAGATTCTGCCGAAATGTTGCTACAACTTCTGTTATTCAATAGCACATCCTATTGTGTTTTTTGACTGGTAACACAAACTAGGAACCTGTTCCTGCTTGGACCTGGATTTTGAATGGATCATCAAAAGTGCCAGCTTGGCTCTGATGCCTACACAAAGTCTACATTGTTTTAAATCAACCCTTTTATTCCACCTTTAAGAAAGTTGAGTACTAGATATTCTTGACTTACAACTGTAATTGTCATTATAAGCCACAGTGGCACAGTGGTTAGACTGCGGAACTGCAGGGTACTTCTGCTGCCTGCCGAGCTGCTGAGTTTGGCAGTTCGAATCCCACCAGTATCAAGGTTGACTCAGCCTTCTGTTCTTCCAGGGTGGGTAAAGGAGGACCCAGATTATTGGGGACAATATGCTGACTCTATAAACCGCTTAGAGAGGGCTGCAAAGCACTGTGAAGAAGTATATAACTATAAGTGCTATTGCTATTGAGCCCAGAAGTGCAATCATAAGTTGTATGGGTTATTAAGCAGGTCATCATGTGACCGACACAATTTTATGACATTTTTATGGCAAGTGTTGCAGTTGTTAAGTGAGCCCATTGTTTGCAATGGGCTTTTTTTAATGGAAACTAGAAGTAAACACCAGTTTCCAGCAAAAACATCCTAAAGCTTGGTCATGTAACTGTGGGATGCTGCAAACAGCTGTAAATGTGGATGGGTTACAGGGTGCCCAAAATCTGATCACATGACTGAGGGCATGTCAAAACATCTGGGCTGTAAGTATCTTTTTTAGGATCCATCATAACATCAAACGAAGTGGCCAGTTGTACTACTTACAATAAGCTTAGGACAGTGATGGATAATCTTTTCGTCACTGCATGCCAAAAAGTGCATGCACACATGCCTGCACCCATAGTGACATGCACGTGTGACACCCCCCTGCCCACTGCACATGCTCCCCTCCACGCATGCATGGCAGATACCCGACAATCAACCGGCTGGCGGGGGGTGGCACGCACATGCGTAGTGGATCTGTTCCCAGTGACGGCTTGCATGCTGGCAGAAATGGCACTGTGTGCCACTTCTGGCATGCATGCCATAGGTTTGCCATCACAGGAGATCTCTTTCCAAACAACCAGACTATAAGTAGATCGATAAAAAAAACCTCTAACTATGGCAATCAATATGGCTATATGCTTCCTTCACATGAGAAGGACACACTCCTATCACACTTGGAGCAATACACACAAATACATTGTAAATATGAAGTAAACCTGACACAGATTTAGAAAGGAAACCCATCATCATAAAAGATATTAAGATGTTGATGGAATATGCCTCTACACAAAGCATTCTCCTGTTCAATCCAAAATGCTTCACAACCATAGAATCCAAGTAATGCTTGGACAATAAAATCACAGCTCTGTCCTTCTGACATATACAACATGACTGTGACCTTGAGGGGTTTTTTTTGACTACCCATTCCCATGTACACCCTTGCAGCCAAACACACTAGGCTTCTGTCCATCCATCTATTTCTCATCTCCTGAAACTATAGTTAACCGGTTTAAACACCGATTTAGACAAAGTTCATTCCTTCATTCAATACAGCAGATGTTCTGACCAAGGCTTCCTGAGACTGTAATTAAGCATACGCTTAGTTAAAACAATTCTTGCTTTATTTCAACGCTGGGAATTATATTCATTCCCAGCCTGTAATGAGTCCCAAACAGTCCCTCGAGATAAGCACCCACTTTTAACTCCTTTGAATTGCTGCCAACAACTAAAGTTGCCAAATTAGCTGTAAAAAACCAACCAAAGTACAAAGTCCACACACAGCTTCAAGGATTAATCAACTTTGCTTCCTGCAAAGGTTTCTCTACCTTTGCACTTCCTTTATACTTTATGAGAGGGGCAATCACCTCCATGACTTACTCCTGAGTTTCCCCTTTTGTCTTAACTGTTCTCGCCTTCTAGCAGCTCTGTGCACACGCGCACTGAGAACAGGCTCCCCTTATTCCTCTGCTTTGCTGCTGCCAGACTCCGAAGGTTCTGGAGTCAGCACACCACTCCCAAATGGTCCTGGTCCCATCTCTGTATCAAACGCAGTCCTCCCCGTTCTTCCCCACTGTCCAATTCCGCTGCCGTCTGCACAGATTGCCGGCAAAGCACAGCTGCAGAATACAACCAGGTCCCGGTAAAACCTCTGTCTTGCCAAAATGCTTTCTGCTGAAATCTACGCTATTAAAGGAATGATGTAGGAGAGTGGCTGAAAATTTACCTTGAATCAAACCTCAGAGTTGAAATTCATCACATATTTGTTTCCACTCGGAAGGTCAGGCCATCCCACTAGGTTCCTAAATGAACTCCAGGCCCGGGACTGTCTGCTGAGGCTTTGGAAAATGAACAGTACATTTCAAAGGAGGAAGTTTGGAAAAATAAAACAAAAAAAAAAACCTACTTACGGTGGCTGTGCCTGAGACAGTTTGTGCATTTGTGTCACTTGTGTTTGGTTCGGAGTGCGTCTGAGCAGGTGGGTACAGATTTAACGTGTGCTCTGTAACCGTGGTTTGCCCGGAGTAGTCGGGGGTGGGGTGAGGATGGGGGCTGGTGTAGTCTCCTGGGATGCCGTTTTGAGGAGGAGCAAACTGGGCAGAGGCGTAAGGCTGAGCCATTGTTTCAGGGGGTGCAGCCGCTTCCTGATTACCCTGTGAAAACATGAAACAACAGGGGAGAACATTGAGCGGGGTTTGGTTTTGCCAAGATTAATGCCTCTTTGAGGCACTTCATCACATTTCTGTCCAGCTTTCCTTCCTGCTGGGATCTCAGCAGTCACCCATCTTCAGGGAGGAGCTGAGCTGCTGCTGGCTTTACTCACAAATAAGGTTTCCTGGGGAACCACACAACTTTTTTAACTCAGCATCTTTCCTCTTCCTCCACCCAATCCAGCGGTAAAATAAAGCCATTCCAATAAGGTCCCCACAACCATTACTGGGCTGTCCTTGTGAGCAAAATTGTGTTTGTGATAAGAGGTGAGGTTTACAGAATAGCCTGGAGGCAAGTTTGCTGCCAGTTGTATAAGATTGCAACTAATTGCATTTCAAAAGAGTAATTTTGAAATTATCAGTAAAACCTTGAGACTTGTAGTGTGTAACAAACAAAGCAGAGATGTACAAGCTTGACAGAATATTTATGGTGTCCCCCTTTTTTAAAAAAAACAAACGAACAAACTTTTCCATGAAATGAAAGCCAAATAATTTGATTTTCAGGTTTCATTTTTTCTCTCTCTTTGCTTAGTCCAACAAACATTTAGTAATAGCTGAATATTATGAATATACATTATGGAATACTTAAACATCACCAGAAAAACAATAATGCGAAGCTACCAGTGAATGAGGACTCTATAGCAATCATACAAAGTTTGAAAATAAATAAATTGGATTTTTAAAGGTGTATTTAAACCATAAATACTTACAAAGGAACAAGACATCCTGGTTTCCTTCCATACTATTATTTAATCACTATTACTTAGATCAAGGATCTTCAAACTTGGCAAGTTTAAGACTTGTGAAGTTCAACTCCCAGAATTCCTCAGCTAACATGACTGGAGGAAGAATTCTGGGAGTTGAAGTCCACAAGTCTTAAAGCTGTCAAGTTTGAAGACCCCGACTTACATAATAATATAGGAATTCAAGCCCTCCCCTTTATGACACCATGTTTAGTGTGTTTTATACTTTCAACAACTTGTACAAGCTAATCTCCCAAATTATGCCCTGGTACAAATTGACTAAAGTTTCCATCAACACATGTGTTAAAAAGTTTTTTAAAAAATAGAATCTGAATTTATTTTCAAATGGTTCCTAAAGCTGGATGAAAGCAATATTGTCCATTGGGTTTGTGAAGTTTGCCAGGCTCCTTGAACCAATAGCAATTCTTATTACAGGTAGGTAGGTAGGTAGGTAGGTAGGTGGATAGATAGATAGATAGATAGATAGATAGATAGATATGGCTGGATGGATGGCTGGCTGGATGGCTGGATGGATGGATGGCTGGATGGATGGATGGCTGGCTGGATGGATGGATGGATGGATGGAATAATGGGCAGACAGATAATAGATTGGTAGATGGATAGATAGGATGAATGGACTGACAAATGATAGCAAGTTGAATAGATAGATGATAAATGAAAGATAAATGAGAGCATGTGCACCAAGACAAATTCCTTCTGTTTCCAATCACACTTGGCCAATAAAAAAGAAAGAAAGAAAGAAAGAAAGAAAGAAAGAAAGAAAGAAAGAAAGAAAGAAAGGAAGGAAGGAAGGAAGGAAGGAAGGAAGGAAGGAAGGAAGGAAG